GTAGGGAATATCGCAGATTTTGGTCATAAATAGGGTAAGGGTTTTGGGAGGCGGGCCGCACACCCCCACCCAATTTTTCTGGGAGTACCCCCCCGGGCTGTAACCGTCCTAAACTCTACTTCTGACTTCTTTACTCCGCCATAACTACCATCGCGATGCCTTTACAAGACATGAACGAAAATTTCTGATTATTTTAATCAAATAAAGATTACATAAAGTCCTCTGACAGTGTCACGACGGTTGTCGATAATCAGAAAGCCCACTGCTAGCTAGGGCAGGGGTGCTGGGGTGACCTAACACCTATTTTCTGTTCCCGACAGTACCCGCGCAAGTGCAATAGGTTATCCAGAACATTTCGTGACTGAGTCAACCTGTCGTGCTGTGGACTACGCTCTTCCTTCTGAGGTGAACTTGGAGAGAAATCGAGGTAGGAAGTGTCTGTTTCGGTTACATATGTTCTATTTGTCTATTCCGGAGCTGTACTATGCAAACAGGTACGGATTCGGAGCATAAGCTTAAACGTTGCGGTTAGGCGGAATTCAACTGCTTTTTTCGAGCTTATTTTCCCGAATGCAGTTCTCAAAATTTCGTAAATCTCAGTTCATTACCTCAAATTTTTCGAGCGCAGTTTTAATCTCGGTTTTAATCCTTCATTTATTCGATATAACAGTTTGGAAGTCACACACATAACAGCTTTTAAAATTCTCCAATACTTTTTCACCATTACGTAACCCTAGGCGGTGTTTCTGCACTACGACTGAAAGGTCGTAACCGCTAAAACAAACGAGACCGCGGGACCCGTGAAATTCGGCGAAAATTTTGCGAGACTCACCGCCCCTTTATGTGGCCTTAAATTTTACACCTTTGATCTCACGCCAATTGTAAAATGTGTCAACGCAAACCAATAGAAGAAAAGACAGAAGTACACTTCTACCAAAATTATTCTCAGATTTTTTGGATGTTCCCCTAGCGCAAGACCTATGTGCTACTCGCAGTCTCGATTTTTTTTCACAAAGCTGACTCGCAGACTCGATTTTTTCAAGGCTAAGAAAGTCTCGAAGTACCGTTTGGTTTATATTGGAGCTCCTGGGCGCGCGAACGGAGCACCATACCTTCGAAATTTGGTTACCCATCGATCTAAAAAAAATTTGGTTGTCACGTGACTGTCCGTGCGTACGTCAGTCCGTATGCCCATCCATATATGCCTATACCTTGAAAAATAAGAGGGTAGCACCATTACCATAGCTACATCTTTGATTTTGAGCATCCATGTTATGGTTAATTGACAGCTGTCAAAACAAGCTATCTGCTGACCAGTATCACATGACCATAGCACGGGCTCAGGTTTAGACCTCATTGAGGTCATGTGTTTTTCTTTTAAGTGGATTGCTGACCAGAGACTGTTTTTTCCATTGGAATCACTGGCTCAAGCCAGGTTATTACTCTGGGGAGAAGGAGGGAATGCTCACAAGGGCAAAATTTTGGCGCCAGTTAACCCCTGGCATGTTGTTGACTTTTTTTCCAACATATTCCTTGCACAATCATCTCATCAGTTTGTTAAAATTAATTGGAAAAAATAACGAAACCACACAGTGATCCAAGAAAAGCATATTCTCTTTTTTCTTTATGGTTAGTTTTTGTAATCATGAGCTCTGCTTTTAGGCTTGGCTAAATCTATATATGGCATCTCAGAGGACCCTCCTGAAAACCACCTTATGGTGATTGGAGATCTCCTCTTAAAATATTATGTATTATTTATTATTATTTATTTATTATTTTTATATTATTTTCATTAATACGTTCTCCAGCTAAGGGCATGTAAGCTTGCAGATATTATATATATGTTGATGATAACTGGAAAACCGCTGGCACTAAAAATAATTAATAACCTATATACTCGTCAGGGGTTCTGAAAAAGGGCTGTACTTTTTCACAAAAGGTATCGAACTTAGATCTTATATTAAACAAGGAAGCTATGTGTTTTTTAGAGATTTACATCCTTTCCATCTCATAAAAATTCTTAATATTGTCTAAACCAGGATCTGGGAGTCGGACAAATGGGTCCACCCTAACCAAATCAAGCTTTGCCACAATAACCCACCCTTTAGCTTCCAGAGAACCAAAGTTACTTTCTTGGGAGTGTATTTTTCTTATACTTTTAACTGAACAACACATTTAAACCAGCTGTGTTTGGCTATTTTTTTGATTCAGTAATTCATCAAGCATGGCTTCAGAGCTCCCTTCACTGGCAGGAAAGGTGTGCATTGTGACAGGGGCATCACGCGGTGTTGGCAAGGGTATTGCCTTGATTCTGGCTAAGGCAGGAGCTACTGTTTACATCACAGGTTAGTTCAAATTTATCATCTAACCAAGCCTGACAGGTCTACAGAATTGTTTTAAAAATATGTTGGAATGGTTCTTTTGTTAGTGAGACAAAAGTTAATAAATATGTCAAAAACATAACCTAATCAATCACACTTAGCATATATATATATAGGGTATGGATTTTATCTTTTACCAATTAAATTGACACTGCTGTAGCAACCAATATCAACATCAAAAATGACCTTAATGTACGTGTGTTTTCTGGTCAAAGCTATACACATTTGTATTGTATAAAAGTAAGTAAATATTGCTAAACATTTTATTGATTGGTTAAGTGATAATGAGAATGTCTAAACTATTACGAGCTACAATTTTGTACCCTACAGATCTAATTTTAAATGTAGCGTCTTTCACATATGAAGGAAACCTTGTCAAGAGGGGGCCAGAAGGAGTACCTGTCCAGGTACCAGCCTCTGGGAAGATGTCAGTAGTGACATTGGACTCCATAAGCTGTGAGATGTTGGACTCCATGGGTCATGTTTATATATATTTTGGGTCATACTTATATATTGCATCTCTCTACATGGTGGGGTGGGGCAGGGAGGTCAGAATCTCCCTCTTCCCTTTGCCTGCTCTCCCACCTCATTCGTGTTTCTCCAGACTCCCGTCCTTTATTGCATTGCTACCAGGCTGTACCATGCCATGCCATTTGACATTTAATGACCTACAATGTATGATGTCAACACCACAAAAGGTAGACTTTCTAAAAGTCCTTTCCAATAATTCTACCCTGGCCTCTTGGTTTCGCTGTTGGAAAGGTCGACCTCTCGCGACTTACATCCCTTGTACTCACCCTTGTGACTTCGTTCTTTGAAGATTACCCCCTCGCTTTGTTCAAGGGAGATAAATAAGTCAAGGATTAAGAAAAGGTCGACTTGTGGCAAGTCTACATGAAAGGGTGTGTTAAGGCTGGTTTCTTTAGCTTAAGAGCATGAATTTTGATCAGAGATAAAATTTGCCCAAGGCCTCAGAGGATGCTATGAGTGCAATTACAATTATATGACTTTGGGTTCATGTTTTTATAATATTCTAACACTAACAAAAAACTAGTGAGACAATCTCAGATAGTGCAGAGCGCAATTGATAGCTCTGATACAGTAGTCCCATAAGTACTCACCCCTGCTTGGTTCACTTCCGG